GGGCTACACAGTGATTGACAGGTCTCTGCCAGAGACGTATACGTCACTCCTCCTCAGTCCAGATATGGTCACTTCCTGTTCACTGGTTGAGAAAAAACAAGATGGCGACGACCAAAATGCTGAACTGGAGGCTTCAAAACATCCACAAACCAACAAGTGACATCACCATGACGATGTCCAACAGGAAGTCCTCATCACTGGTTCCCTCCACAAACAGCCAATGAGATTCTTCCGTATGATTTTGGATTAATCTCTGTGTCAAACAAACGTTGATGATTCTCACCGGTTTTGTTCAAGATAATCTTCACAAAATTTTCCTCCTGAAGGATTCAGTAGCAGAGACTTCACTTCTTTATGTTTTATATCACATCATGTTCATTGATATGTTAGTATTCTACATTATTCAACTTTTTTTGGTTTATGTTTTTAATACAAGTGACACAACGTCTCTCTGACCTTTAACCTGTTAAACACAGCGGCGCTTTAGAGCAACACGGCTCATGAACTCATCTCTTTGTCACAGAAACATCTTTTATCTTTGAACATAAAGAACGACGTGATGCGGATCATTGAAACATCACCTCTGTATGAAGTGTGTTTAAAAACAGATCAAACGTATCTGAGATAACTGATTATGTTTAAAAGGTTTAAATCAGGAAATAAAAAGCTCCATTTCACAAGCTCAGGAAGTTTCTACTTTATGGATGCTCAGAGTACTGCAGTATTTTACCAATAGTACCACGTTAAAGACATTTTACTGAAGTACAAGAAGAAATACGAAGATGAAAGCAGGTTGAGGGTGATGAAATAATCATATATGATAAACTTATGAAACTAAAGAAAAGTGTTTCATCACACCTGAAGAACAAACCAACAAAAACTTTACAGATGGAACTTTGCAGCCAGTTTATATGATCAGCATGAACCAAGATGGCCCCCAACAGAAACCAAGATGGCCCCCAACAGAAATGAGCCACATTCATTAATAACCTGAAAGTTCTCATAGAAACAACAGCAACACACACACACACACACGTACTCACCTGTCTGACTGTCAGCATGAACACCTCCAAGTCCTCACAAAGCTCCTCCAGGTCCAACTTCTCTGGTCCCAGTAGAACCAGACCACTACAGTAGAACCAGTCCACTCCTCCTCTCTGGTCCCAGTAGAACCAGACCACTACAGTAGAACCAGTCCACTCCTCCTCTCTGGTCCCAGTAGAACCAGTCCACTTGTCCTCTCTGGTCGCAGTAGAACCAGTCCACTACAGTAGAACCAGTCCACTCGTCCTCTCTGGTCCCAGTAGAACCAGACCACTACAGTAGAACCAGTCCACTCGTCCTCTCTGGTCCCAGTAGAACCAGTCCACTTGTCCTCTCTGGTCGCAGTAGAACCAGTCCACTACAGTAGAACCAGTCCACTTGTCCTCTCTGGTCCCAGTAGAACCAGTCCACTACAGTAGAATCAGTCCACTCGTCCTCTCTGGTCCCAGTAGAACCAGACCACTACAGTAGAACCAGTCCACTCGTCCTCTCTGGTCCCAGTATAACCAGTCCACTTGTCCTCTCTGGTCCCAGTAGAACCAGTCCACAAACGGCAGAACTTCCTCAGAAGTCACCTGGAGGATCCACCATTAGCTATTTAGCATGTTTAGCATAGCCACACCCAGAATGCACCTGTTGGGTGCGTTTGATTTGGATCACTGAGCGGGCTCGCGGGGTGGTGCGTCAGTGATTCATTAGTGCAGAACTCCATAGAAAAATGTTACATTTTAAGAGTTTCGTGCACGCAGCCGAGGACGCGCACGAGCCATGTTCAAACCTGTGCTCAGGTCAGAACCGGATCGATGTTTTGGTGAATTCGGCTTTCATGTAATCAACCTGCTGACTCATGTTTACCATCATCTCTCAACCTGTTCACCTGTTCTGATGTTCATCTCGGCCACCGTCGGTCTGCTGCACTCAGCAAAACTGACCGGATTATCAGGAGGGTCTGGTGTCTGTAGAGGGTCTGGTGTCTAGAGGGTCTGGTGTATGTAGAGGGTCTGGTGTCTGTAGAGGGTCTGGTGTATGTAGAGGGTCTGGTGTCTAGAGGGTCTGGTGTCTAGAGGGTCTGGTGTCTAGAGGGTCTGGTGTCTGCAGTTCATCATATCAGGAGCAATGACATGTGAATTAAATACAGCTGATGTTAATCCCTCAGGTCTGTTTTGACTCCTACAGACCGCCTTACCTCGGACACACAGAGATTCATCGTTCATGAAGTACTGCACAGAATAAAGGAGTTAAATATGACGGAGACATACACACAAAGGTAACGTAGAACTTTACAGATTTATTCCACTTGATGAGATGAAACAGTTCAGATTTCCTTCAACTCTGACGGGATTATTCTGTCAAATGTCTGAATTTAGTAAATGATTTCATAGATTTATGAAACAGAAGTGAACAGAGGACATCGTGTGGAGCTTCTTCTCCTTTTCACTTATTATTCAACCTCCACGTTAACAAATAAATGTCATGTTTTTATTCCACATTTTCATTTTGTGTTTCTCTCAAACAGCTGGTGAGTGTATTTAATCACTCAGCGCCCTCTGCTGGTCAGACGAGGAACGTCACGCTGAACCGGCTGACGTGTCGATCACAGTTCATCCTGACGGGACCATGAACGATGAACCACATCTGTTTCATACAAAGAAAGTTCTGATGAAAACCCAACCAGACTCAAACCGCCGGTCTCTTTGTTCCACGTGAAGAAGTCCTGAACCTCCAGAGGATGAAGTCCTGAATCAGGTGACGAGGCTTCACTGTGTGACGGGGGGGCTGAACATCTGCATGGTCTCCATGACGAGCGTCAGGTGATCCAGAAACGAGTTCACCGACACTCGGAGGACTCGAGCTTCGTCTGCGCTCCACTTCCTGAATAAAAACACACGAAGAAGAAGAAGAAGAAAAAGAAGTTAGAGGACGGACGTCAGCAGTCAGAAGAAGTTAAACGTGTTTTTCTTGCTCACACAGACAACGTGCTGCCGGTCACCGCCAGATGTTTGCTGATGCCGCCTTTCCTCGGCTCCCGGTCCGGAGACAGAGAACGAAGAGCGATGGAGGCTTCATGAGACGACGGGAACGGGACGTCCAGAGAGCTGAGGGGGGGGGTCAAGGAAGAAGTCTGTTCTTCATGTGTTAAAGCTGCATTCTCTCTCGTGTTTTTGATGGAAACAAACAAACGCTGTAATTCACAGATTTATTTTTTCACTTTTTCTTTTCACTTTATTTTGCAACAGGCTTCGTTGTCTTCATATCAGTCAACCTCCGGTTCTTTAAAGTTCTTCAAAGCTTCATGTGTTAAAGCTGCATTCTCTCTAGTGTCCACCAGGGGGCGACTCCTCTGGTTGTATAGAAGTCTATGAGAAAATGACTCTACTTCTCTCTTGATTTATTACCTCAGTAAACATTGTAAACATGAGTTGATGGTCTCAATCTCTAGTTTCAAGTCTTCGTCAATGCAGCATGATGTTCGTGGAAATCTTGTACTTTGCATTTCACTACAATTATTTAAAAACATTAGTTAAAAGTGAGGCTACTTTGCAGATTCTTAACATAAAATATAAATAAAACTAGGAAACTACTATGTGTTATGAAGTATTTTAGTTTTTATCTGAATGTGAGCTGGAGGAGAAGAAGCTCACTTTTACTCTGCAGCCACCGATAAAAGCAACGTGACATCACCGTGACATCACCTCTGTCTGAGCGTCTCGTTTAGACTTCACTTTAAACTCAACGAGTCCTCAGATGACGAGCTGATCGTACGGTAAGAAGAGATTCCTACGAACGCTCTTTAACGTTTTACACGTTTCTAGAAGCAGAATTTAGCAGTGAAGTCGTCTGAAGATGATGAAAATACATTTTAAATAACTTCACATTTTGAACCGTCTGTTAGCTGCTGTGCATCTAAAATAAATACATCACAAAGTCTCATAAACGACAAATGAACGTTTCATATGAAACGCAATGTGCAGCTATGGAAGCACATTTCCACCAGCAAAAAAAAAAGTCACAAAAAAAATCCACTAAAAAAATAAATAATAATAAATTCTAATTATGTTTTATGCTGGTGGAAAAAAAGTTAAAATAAAAAATATATATATTTTTTTACTTTTTTTCCACCAGCATAAAAAAAAAATAAAAAAAATGCAGCACCACTTTTGGTGCATCCATCTGTAACCATAACACTGACCAGATGTTTCCAGCTGCTATAGGAAGTCTAAATGATGAGTCATAGAAGCAGCTCTTCATAGGTTACCCTACATGTGACGTATACATGGATTGTGAGTACATTGAAGACTTCTTTAAACGTGACTTTACAACACATGAAATACTTCAATAGCTTGATGTTTCACATGGATTACTGAGCAAACGCACCCTTGAATAGAATTTTAAGCAAGAAGCAGCTCTGGAGTATAAAGAATGAAACCAATGTGGCTGAGGTGAAGACCTTCAATAAACAGCAACTGGAACTTTTTTATTTTTTGCTGGCAGAAAAAAAGTAAAAAAAATAATAATAATTAGTTTTTCTTTTTTTACCACCAGCAAAAAAAATGTAATTCTTTTTTTTTGTCACCTTATTTTTTTTTTTGGCTGCAGATATGTGCTTCCATATGCAGCAGATGTTCTACAGATGTATAATTCATGTTCCTGGTGAGTCAATGGTTCCGTTAGCGTTCAATGTGCAGCTTATCTTTCTGTATCAGACCAGCTGGATCCAAACATGAAGCAAACAACAGACAGGAACAAAGAGAACAAGAGATGGAGGGATGGAGAGATGAAGGGATGAAGGTGTGGAGTGAAGAGAGGAAGAAGAGGAACTTGTAGATCTATCGATCACATCGAGAGCCGAGCTTCTGTTCGTTATTATAGTTCTACTTTCCACAGAATTAATATTAATATGCGGACTGTTCCCCCAAACAGGAAGTTTTAATAAATAATTTTTTATCAAAAGACTTTCTTATAATATCTGATTTCTTCTTCTTTCAATCATTTTATTCTCAGATTATAGTTTAAAAGCTAAATGTTAGCCTAAAAAAGAATATTACATAAAGACAGAAATAAACTATATTTTTAATAATTAAACTATTGAGTTCCACTGCTCTTTAATCTTACAAACTATTATTTATCATTATTATTAATAACTTACATATTATATTAGATATTAATAACTTGAGTGAATCGTATTTTAGCCTGCATGAAGCTCTGATGAAGAGAATAAAGAATAAATAAGAAGAGAAGGAAAGGAAAGAAAATGAGTAAACTAGGAGAGGAAACGAGGAAACGAGACAGTAAACAAACATTACTGAGAGGCTAATGAAGCATGTAGCATTATGCTAATGCTGCTGCTATCGTTACGTTTCTCATTAAATCATGAACTTATTAGTCAGAACACTTTATAACACAAACAAGAGTTGAAGCTAAATATTCAGAGTTCTTATTAAAGGATACAACTCCAGTTTTCCCGTTTCGTGGTTTCTTTCTCCGTCTGTCGCCGCCATCGTGTTTGTTGTGTTTCAGTAAATCACGTTTCCGGAGAAGAAGAAAAAGAAGAAGAAGAAGAAAAGGCCTTTCCGGTGAGCAGTGGTGGCGCTCTGCTGCTCCACAGCGGCGGAGGACGGTACTGCAGCTGTCTCATATTAAAACCTAAAGGATGAGAACTGACATTTCTGAGGGACGAAAATACACAAATATGTGTTAAATAATATGGAATATGATAAGTAAAAATATACAAAACCATAGACACAATTTGAGTATTTAGGATATTGGCTTTCATTATGAAATAATGATATAAATATATTTATAAGATAAGATAAGTGTGGAAGACATTCTACATTTTACTTTAAAATATTAGTTTATCGACTAAATCTATTTTAAGTATCAACGTTAAAGTATTCACGAAGCAACATGTTTGTATGCAGCATTTTATTACTGTAGCCGCATGCATTAGAGCTCATTTTACTCCTTTTATATCCTGTTGGGTGGTTTGATTCTGATAATATATATATACTGTATATATATATAGTTCCTCAGAGCTGTATTTAAGTGCAGTACTTGACCACCACCTCACACTAGATGTAATGTAAATGATTTAAATAAAGTAATACACTTCTTTCTCAGGTCAGTAAACTAAAGTTAACATTCATATTCATTTAAACTGGAAACCTTCTGTTATTATCATAAACTATCTTTATATTGCACAGAACTATATTTATATTCTCACAGTTCATCCTGAAGTAACAAATACTTAAATATCTCATAAAAACACAGATTATATTTATTTATATGTTCAATATATTATAATCTCTCATTAATATACAAATACAATATGATACCAAGACACTCTCAGACCCTTCTGTCGATTCTAAACTCAGTTTCCAGACTTTCAAAATAAATCCACAGGGAGACCTTTATTTTGTAGGAGCGCTGTCAAACCCAGCTGCGCGTGTCTTCGTCCTCTGAGTCTCAGTCCGTCTGATCCGGATCAGCTGCTGTTGGTGATGATCGGAACCATGACATCACCCGCACGCGCTCATTATTGATTCGCTCTTATTATTTATTCTAAAACCAAGATTCCGGATCAGAACTGAACCAGAACGAGGATCCGGGTCTCCTCCGATCCGGACTCTTCTAACGATCTGCTGACTAAGTGAGTACATGAAGAAAACTACAGAATATTTACTGTATATTAAAACAATATTTGATATTTAATTTGACTGAGACAAAGAAGACAAGAGAACAACTTCGTGACTGAGAGACAGAAATATTTCACTGAATAATTATAATTAACATTATGAAATGAATATGAGTATTTATTATTATGAGTATTATTGTTGTTGGGTAATACTATAATAATGTCTACAACACGTATGACTTAATACCTGTAACTCATAACCATAGCTTTGTATTTTATATATTATTTTTATAAATAAAATTAATATTTTTATTTATTTTATTATTTCTATTTTAGCCTGTGAGATTTTGTTTTTGCTTCAATAATTTACTGTAAATAATGATAATAGTTAAATCATATATAAATATACTGTATATATATATAAATATACATATAAATATATTTATATGTATATTTATATTTATATATATATATATATA